AGACACACAGACACACAGACACACAGACACACAGACACACACACACACCTGCCTCTGCTCATCCCACTATGAAAGACAGATGCAATGACATGCCAAGACCAAGAAGTACCAGGCCTATGAGTACTTTCTAGTACTGTCGTCCTATGTAAGGTATCAGGGAAAAAAATGGCTGAATCTGGATCAAGGGCCAGACATATATAGGAAAAGCCTTGACCATCTTATAGGGCTAGAAAGTAAGAAAGTGCTAAAATGTACATAAGTACTAGAGGCAACCAATAGTTACATGTATATGGCAAAGGGACACAGAAAGCCAGGTCTGACGGCATAGGCCTATTGCCTTAGTTACTCAGGAGGCTGAGGCAGAGAAGTTCAAAGCCAGCATGGGCTAAAGAGTGAGTTCAAGGCCAGGTGATGGTGGCACACACCTCTAATCCCAGCACTCAGGAGGCAGGTGGATCTCTGTAAGTTAAAGACCAGCCTGGTCTACAGAGCGAGTGCTAGCATAGGGTACAAAGCACACAGAGAAACCTTGTCTTGAAAAACAAACAAGCAAACAAGCAGAAAAGAGTGAATTCAAGACCAGCTTGGCGAACTCGAGATCCCATATTTACAATGAATAGCGAGGAGAGATGAACGTCTAGCTCAGTGATGGAGTGTGTGCCTGGCAGAAACAAGACTCTGGGATCAATCCCTGGTACTACAAAGATAAAGAGGGCGGGGCGAGGAGAAAGAGGACAGAGGATGGGGTGGGGGTTAGGGTTTGGGGGGAGTGTGAGTGAGCTAGCAAGCAGGGAAGGAAAGGGTGGGGTGAGAGGAGAGGAAAGAGAGTAGAAGGGGGAGGGACAGATGGATGGGAAGGAGAAAAAGAGACTGGGAGGGAAGGGTAGAGAGTGGGGCATGGGAAGGGGAAGGGGAAGGGGAGGGAGGGAGCAGGGAAAGGAAAGGGGGGCAGAAGAGAAAAGAAAGGAGGGGCGGGGGGGAGGAGGGCATCATTTCACTGAACTCCAAGCATCGGACTCTGCCTCTACTGATGCACGTGGGGTTTTATTTATTTTAACTTTGCAAGTAGGCATAAATACATATATAGCTCTAATCAAAACCTTTTGCAAGTCAAAACCCTCTTGAGCAGAGTGTTTGCTTTAACTAAGTGGAGCCTCCATCTCTCCCTGCAGTGTTCTTCCTGCCAGAAGTGTGTGTCCGGAGAACCTTCCTGACCAGCGAAAGAGGCAGAAAATTCAGAAACTGGTTGCCATGTAGGACACTCAACAGCACCCATGGCTGGCCTGAGGCCACAAGTTGTATGAATCTCTCAGATCTCGGGGTATGAATATTGGCTGGTTAGAATATGCAGATGAACTTGGCACTGGTGTCCAAAAGAGAAAAAAAAAAAAAAAAGTTCAAAGGGAGAATTGCACAAGGAAAGAGTCACAAGCAAAGAGGCCTGGCAGGTGAGCCAGTTTAGAGGGTGAGTCTATGGAAGTCATTGCTGGGTTTTGCATGCTTGGTGCAGAGATTCAAATAACTGAAAACCAGACAAATACAGAGCTATTTTAGGGGCTAGGGAGGGATGCTATGATTCAGCCCAGTATTCCTGAGCTAGCAAGTTCCAGATAGGCCCAGCCCCTCTGAAACATGAATCTCCCCAGCATTCAGAGCCTAGGCCTTTCCCGTCACACCACATGACACAGAACTCTCTAGCCTCTTCTTATTCCTTTGCAACATATTCAGGTCTCAATCACAGACCACGGAAAGCTCAGAAGAAGTTCCTACCAAATCTTAGCTTAGCATTTTCAAAAGTGCAGTGCTCGGTTTTCTGGCCTGCTCTCACTTTCAGTACTGAGATTGTCCTCTCCCCTTGCTTGGTCAAGACTACATTTTTTTTCCAAATCAGAGCTGGAAGCTTAGAAACATCTTTTCTACTCCTTCCC